GGACTGCGGGGTGGGGGTAGGGGGGGGGGTGCTGTTGACCAGTTGTGTGCTTGGGGCGAGGCGCCTCAAGCGCCTTCGTGGGATAAGGGGAGGTGCAGCGTGGGCGTCGACAGCTCCAGCGCTTGCTGTTGTCACCGCAGCAGCTGGGGTCCTGCTTTGCGTGCGGTCGAGTTGATGGTAGGTAATCCGCCACAGTCAAACACAGTCAACGCCTCGAAACAACCGGTCCCACAACACGACGTCGCCCCCCGCAGAGTGTCGCACTGTCACACACGGGGGACCAGCAACAGCAAGGCTGGTCGCTCAGCTCCTCAGCCCCCGTTGCGGCGCGGCTCAGCGTACTGCCGCCGCTGTCGTCCATGCCGCCACCGCCGATGCCGCCCCCGCGGCGGCCGTCTCGGACAAGCGCTGATGGGGGCACCCGCCCGCTTTCGGCATACGTCTAATGCGTCTGAATTGAACCCTTGAATTGCGATGCTTGAATTGTACAGCGCTGGTGCTTAAATGAGCGCCAGGCTCTGCGGGGTGACACCGGCCGCGCATGGGTTACCCCACTTCGACACCACGTCTCTGTGCAGCGTTCAATTGCAATAAAGCGAGTCGCGGGTGTAACATTAATCACCGAGTTGCTCATAGACGCGTCGACCTTTGCAGCGTCGCAGATCTGACGACCAGACCCAAGGGGTGCAAGGCCAGCATTCGCGGCGCCCTATAGCCGAATTTCGCATCCGGTAGGTCCTTACGCGCATGCTGATGCGCGCAGTCCGCCCGGCCGCCGCGCCTCGCCAGCTCGCCGCCGCCGCTGCTGCTGCTGTGTGCCGCGGCCGCCGCGCCCAAGGGGCCCTTTTGGCTGCCGCACGCGCCGCCAGCCACCCTGCCGACGAGCCCCGCGGCGCGCGTATCCACCCGCAAGCTCCCTCCACGTCCTCTCGCCCCAACTCCGCTCAATTCCACCACCCCATACAGGCGTGCACGTCATGGGACCCCTGGAGGTGGCTTATGTGATCTTCGGGATCTACCTGGCGGTCCTGGTGGCCTCTGCGCTGCTGGGGGTGGTGCTGCGCCTCCGAGCGCAGAGGCGCGCCGGCGCCGACGCAGGTAAAGCGCGGGCACCGCCAGGGGCCAGGGCCCCCACCGCTCAGGCGCCGCCGCGCCAGCCGCAGGCAGGGGGGGCACAGCTTTGGCCGGCCGTCGCCGGCGGCGCGAGCTGCTGCAGCAGCCGCCAGCTGGCGCCCCGGGCATGCGCTGCTCTGCGCCTGCGGAGCCTCCCTGCTCGTGGTGAACGTGTTCCCTGCCACCTCCGCTGAAAACACGTACACCGCCCCCGTCCTGCTCACCCTCCATCGTTGCCCGCCCACCCCCTCCCCATCCCTGACCCCGTCGTCCCCCGCACCCAATCGCCATGCTCCTTTCCCCCAGTCAAGGAGCACTATGTTGCTGGCGCGGGCCTGATGCAGTTCACCTGGTTCTTCACTATGGCGGCCTCCCTCTACTCGGGCTACTCTGTCAGCGGCATCGTGAATGAGTCATTCAACCAGGGCTGGACCAGCACCCGCTGGATCCCAGGAGGTGGGATTCGGCGGTGGGCCAATGTTATCATTTGGAGGGGGGTTCAGGGTTTCCTGTGCGGTTGGACGAGGTGTGTGTGTATGTGTGTGCGCGTGTGTGTGTGTGTGTGTGTGTGTGTGTGTGTGTGTGTGCCTGCGCGCGTGCGTGTGAGTGTGTTTGTCGCTGTGGGACGTGCAGGGGTGGAATGGTGGAGGTCAGGCCAGGGGCTCGATATCCGGCGGCGGCCCACGGCCGCGCCGCCAATGACAGCGGCGGCCGTGGCCATGTCGGTGCGACATGGCCATGTCGGTGTGCGACATGGCCACGGTTAGTATGTCGCACACCGACACACCATATGCAAGACAAGCTTCTCTGGACCTTCCCCAAGCTTTGGTGGACTCGTTTCCAGCGACGGCGGCCCCAATCACGCCGCCCCCTCCCCCACAGGCATCGGTGTGTACGTGGGCTTCCTATACCTGGCGCCCCGCTTCCACGCGCTCGGCAAGTCGCGCGGCTACATGGTGAGGGTAGCACCCTGCCACCCCCGATCTTCGGGCCCACCGCCGCCTGCGCCGCCTCGCGGTCCGGGCGGCCCGGGCCGAGGCCTGGCTCCGCTTCCCACTCGCCCAAGCACGATACCGCGACGCGCCCCCCTTACCATACACTCCGAGGCCCCTCCCCCCAGCGTGTTTGACCCCCTTGTGCCGAATCCCCTTCTGTGG